CCACGCCTCCCCCTGCCTCTGCGTTGCCCCCTCCTGCCGGGAGGCTTCCTGCAGGAGCTGCAGCAGCTGGTGGTGCTCGTCCCCTGCTGGGGCCGCCCAGAGCCTCTTCAGGTACTGGATGTCCACTGCGCCCGAAGCTCTGACCAGCACCAGGGCAAGGAAGCAGGAAGCCGCCGGCCGCCTTCTCTGGCTCCCCGACAACAGTCATGGCCACCAGCCTGCAAGAGGGGCGTGGGTGGAGGTCAGCACACGGGGCCGGGGCTCCCACGTCCACCGGACCTACAGGAGCATGCTGAGGGCTGAGGGCTCGGCGGGTCTCCGTGCCGCCCCGGGCAGGGGGGATGCTCAGTCGGCTCCGTCCCTCGGGGGCCTGTGCTGTGCCCCTCCCCGCAGCGTGGGGTGCTGGGCCCTTCGGGACCAGGCAGGAGGGTGAGCATCTTTGGGCCTCAGCTGGACCGACCGGTCCTTTCCCACCAGCCTCGTGTGACCATGCTGTTTGCTGCACAGCTCACGCCCACACTGCTTCCCACTCCCCGCGCCCGAGGAGGGCGCTACATGGAGCAGCCGTGCCCCTCTTCCCGGGTCCTCCCTGTGGCAGGGAGGCCAGGCCCTGCTCCTCTGGCTGCTCAGAGGCTCTGAGACCACTAGCAGCCCAGGGCAGGCGGGCAATTCTCTTCAGAGCCTGGTGCCAGGGCCCCAGCGAGCCCGCGCCATGACCAAGGGTCCGAGCCTGCTACCCTAGGCCCTCGTCCCACCCCATGGCTGTACTTGGGCTGGTCCGCAGGGACTAGTCAGCTCCCCCGAGCCTGTGTTCCCCGTCCCCACCAGCTAAGTCTTCGTCCAAGTGTATACTCACTAGGACGCTGAGAGCACGTCACGCCCACCCCCCCATGCCTCCTCACCCCAGCCAGCAGCATTCCCCAGCTGCCCAGGGTGCACAAGGGTGCTCACACGGTCGGTGCTCGATACCCAGCTGGGGCTCTGAAGGCATTTTTACTTCACCCACGAGGGAAACGGGCACCACCACGCTCCCCAGAGCCCTCCGGCTGGCCAGGCCCCACTCTCTCAGGTCAGGCCAGGACTTGAGCACAGGCCTCCAGTGGCTCAGCACCTCAGAGGGTGCCCACAGCCTGCGCCGTGCCGCCCACCTCACTTTCTCAGCAGTGACCTGTGCCCCCAAGAGCCCACGGAACTCTGACCTGGTTCCGACCAGTGCAACCCTCCGGTTCCCTTCATAAACAGACGGGAGCGTGTCTGAGGCTGAGCAGAATAGCGACAGCAGAAAGTGACCCTGAGTACCACTTAACGAGCACCACTCTCTGGGAGGACCCGGTGCCCTGCGCTGGGGCAGTGGTGGCTGCCGAGGACCCTTGGTATAACGAGTGTGCCACCTGGTGGGGCAGGAGGAGAGGGGCGCTGCTCCGCCCCGGCCCTGCTCCATGTTGGCGACCAAGAATTGCTCTAAGAAATTTCAGTGTTATCATATTATCTAAACACGTAAATCTAATATGCAGCTGCAAATACATTATCTCGACATCAGCGAAAACAGCCACGTCCGGAAGCACACAAGCTGAGAGCGGTTGGTTACATCCAGCCTGCCCCACATGTCGGCCCAGCCCTCACTCACCTATCCGGGGAGACGGGCTGTCTGGCCACGGGGCCCAGGTCGCTCTGTAGCAGGTCCCAGACGTAGATATTGGCCGAGTCGTCCTGGACCAGGAACACCGCGGGCCGCGTGGGGGACCATTGCAGGCCGGTGACTGCGTGGCCGGTGGTGCTGTTGTCCCACTGTAGAACGGGGTGCTCGGCCGTGAGCCGGTGCAGCCTGATGCTCCCGTCCGAGCAGCCAGCCTGGGGGTGGGGGGAGGGGGCGTTACTCTAGTTTCTGTTTCAAAGAAATTCTGAGAGCATAAGCTTAGGACAGCAAAAAGGCATTTGTCTGTTTTCTTTCTCCTCATGTAAAATTCTGGCATCAAGCCCGCCCCCACTCTCAGAGGCAGGTGTTCCCTGGGGCACTCTGCACCTGGCCTTCCCCACGGCCAGGCCAACGGAGCCGGGAGCAGGCCGGGAGATGCAGCGTGCAACACAGCTCACAGCACCGACTCAGCCTGGGCCTCAGCTCCAAGGGTGTAAAAAGTGACTTCTTTGTTAGCTTTTTGACATGGTGCATGTGCCCAGTGGAGACAGTCAGAGAGAGAGAGAGAGAGAGAGTGAAGTCCCTCTCAGGACTGGGCTCGCACATGTGGACGCAATCGTGGCGAAGCGCCATCTGCCCCGACAGTGGCACGGTACTTGACCGTGTGTGTTCAGGCTGTCAGTCACAGGGGTAAGTCGGAGCGCAGGGAAAGCTGGCAAGATTCAGGAAGGGGCTACCAGGCTGTAGTGGAACACCTGTATCCTGGCTGGCACTGAGCCGCTGGCTGTTAGATGCAGTCCTGCCCTTCCTCCCTCTTCAGCTCAGCCCATCCACATCTGCCTGCTGGCCGGGTGGGCGGGCTGACACCAGGCCTAAAGGAAGACAACTGGGATGCCAAGCAGCCAGCGCATCCCTGGGGTGCGTCTGAGCAAAGCGGGCGCCGCTGCCTTCCCAGCGGTCATCCCGACTGTCTCCGCGGGTCGAGACTCTGAACACTGACCCAGACACGTTTTGTCAAATGAACGGAAGGCAAAAATTCTAACACTACAAATTTCTTGACATTTTGGCTGGTCTAGATATCTGACTTTTTTGGGGAGAGTTTTTTGCTATAGGGTGCGTGCGCTAGCCAGAGAGACAAATTTCTCAGCGGGTTATGTATTCTAAGTTTCTCGTGTTTGTATTGTTTGTGAGAGAGCATGAGCTTCCACTGCAGAGCGAGGGGGACCTTCGCCAGGGTCTTGTCCTGCCGCAGCACCCCCTGGCCTGCGACCCTCCGGCTGTGGTACATGTGCCCAGCTCTCAGGCTGACCGGGGCCGAGCTGCAGTCGGCTGTGTGGCCAGCCCCACGCTCAGCACGCCAGCCGCCCTGCCAGCGGGCCACGCTCGCCCCTTTACTGTCAGTGTCGCATTTCTCCTTTTACTGTGAGTGTGCTTTTAAGCATTTTCTTTTCTTTTGTTTACTTATTTTTTCCTGAAAAAGTGTGGTGCGTATACACCGTGGTGTACTGCTCAGCCGTAGAAAGGAGACCTGGCGTCTGACGGAGTGAATGGGTTTGGGAACTGTGGCGCCAGGTGAAGCCGGCCAGACTACATTTCTCCTTTCAGACCTTTGAGGCTGAATAAATGATCGATTTGTAGCCTGGTTAATTACCAGCTTTTAAAATTCTCCAGTGGACCCCTGCCATCTAGTCATGGTGGCTAAATAGGCCCCGATCACCCCTAACAGGAACTGCCGCTCAAGAAAGCCTTTCTTACCAAGAATATTGGCTCTCCAAATGGCGAGAAGTCGATCACATTGACTCTGACTGGCCGCGTGCCACCCTGCAGGGGCTTGAATGACCGAGGAGATGCCGTCACCTCCTGCCGTGTGCTGTGGCTTACAAGGCCCTGGCGAGCAGAAGGCCAGGGTGACTGGTGAGCACCCTGGCCATGAGGTCAGGCAGAGCCGTCACCCTCGAGACAACATGAACAGCGTCATAAGAAGAGCAAACAGCATCCAGTGGTAAATTCGGAACTCCCCAGGTAGAGAATGAGCATACGGGGAAACTTAGAATATGACTCACCATGTCCGTGCCAACGACAAAGTGGTTGGGATCTGACGGCAGGAATTTAACACTCAGTGTCTGCACGGTCCCCCAGAGTCCACTGCCTTGATGGGGGAGGCTGCAAAAACAAGGTGAGCAGGTGGGCCGTTTGGAACCTCACGGACGATGGCGACACGAGACATTCACCAAGTGCCACCACGTGTCACTGGGCATGCCACAGGCCACGGACGCTCCTCTGAGAGCCAGCACTTCTCGGTTCCCACTTCTTTTGTCTTTCTCCTCTGCTGCTGCACATGGGCCATTTCTCCAGACCTACCCTGGGCTCCACCTCCCGTCAGCTACGCCTGCCCGAAGACCACTAAGGTCTTCGCTTCAGAGATCAGACTCATTTCCAGCAGGCCTCTGGGGCTGGCCACCGGCTCAAGCCCCAGCGCACTGCCGCCACCCATGGCGCACTGGCTCCCGTGCCTGGAGTTTCTACAGTTCTCGCACGAGCGTTTGACTTAGGTGCCGTGCTCCAGGTGCACTCCTGCGAGCCCAGCTTGGAGAAGCAAAGTTCTCCTGCTACTTCAGCCATGAGCCTACCAAGGCCCCGATGCTCACACCCCAGCCTGCAAGTCCCCACACCCAGGCTCAAACCCACCACTTGAAGGTTCTCGAGCTCCTCTGCCTTCCCTGGGCTGGGCGAGGCCTTCTGAATTCTCTCACTGAAGTCCTCTCGGACATGTCAATCCCGGTACCCTGCCCCAGGGAGGCCCTGGCACATGGGGACCTGCACAGCCACAGAGGCCTGGGACAGACCCGCCCTGGCAGCAGTGTGAGCTCGGAACTTTCCCTAAGGGCAAGCCCCTCCCGGTTTCCGCCATTTGGACCTTCCTTCTTTTGAAAACTACACTTAGCTGTACTGGTCTTCCCTTTAGGCAGCTTTGCAGCTGTTAACTGAAGGCCACCGCTGCCCCTTCCACAGTGTGGCACAGGCAGAAGAACCTGGCTGCCCCCTCAGTCCCCTTCCCAGGCTCCTCTCCCCAAGTCTGTGCCACCTGCCCCAGACATGGCCACCACACCCTGGCCAGCCCAGCCCCAGGGAGGACGGGTGCACCGCCACAGGCATCTTTGACCCCACTGCGGGAGTCTGAGCTGCAGGCAGGGGGCCTGGCCACAGAGACACAGGGGGAGGGGGCTGCCATGAGACGCCGAGCCAATGGAAGGTCCAGGTCCCAGACCTACCTGGACGTGCCAGGCATGATGGCATGCCTGTGTCTGGCTGGCGGGGAGGCCCTGAGCTTGCCAAACTCTGTCTCTCTGTCTCTCTGTCTCTCTCTCTCACATAGGAACAAGCAAGCCAGGAACCAGCAGGTGGCATGGTGAAGGCACTGAACTTGACTGCTGTTCGAGTCCCAGACCTCCTGGCTTGAAACATCATGTCGGATGCATCTGCACGTGTGCCCAAAATCTGACAGGAGAAGGGAGCAGAAGGCTGAGGTCATCCCTCCTGGGGAAGATTTCTCACGGTTCCCTCTCTTTCTCTCTCCAGTAAGCATATGTGGCCTATGGCAAACAAGCTAAAAAAAAAATCTCTAAGCCTTCATGAACTTATGGATGGGTCCACCTCCCAAATATTGGGTTCTCAGAAAAGTCACGAGGCATTTTTGCATAGAAAAAGTTTGTCATGACCTTTCCAATAACCCAATACGTTCTGTGTAATGATGAAGAAACAGGATCAAAAAACTTCCAGGGTAATTCATATGACAGCCCCTGAGCACAGTAAATAACAAAAATGATGTCTTCAAACCGATAGCATTTTTATGCACCAACAGAGAACAGACTGAGGTAGAACTGAAGAGACAATCTCATTTATAATAGCCACAGGAAACTAAGACATCTAGGCATAAACCCAACCAAAGAGGCAAGAGCTCTACGAGGAAAACGGAAAACCAATATTGAGCATGACACACAAAAGTGGAAAGTCGTTCTGCCTCCTAGGATTAGAAGAATCAATGTATTGACTCACAAATTCAATTCAATTCCAATCAAATTACCAGCGGCATTCATCAGAGAAACAGAACAAAGAATCGTACATTCGTCTGAGATCATGAAAGGCTGCACAATGCCAAGGCAATCCCGTGCAGGAAGAATAAAGCAGGAGTCTATCCCAGAGCTGTGACGAGCGGATTGGCATGTATGGAGGAGACAGACCGATGCAACAGACAGACAGCTACAAATAAGCCCCAGATACACGCCAGCCGCCTTCCACAAAGGCCACAGACGATTCAGTGGGAAAAAGAAAGGCTCTTCAGCAAACGTCGCTGGAAGAACTGGATATCCATCTGTAGAAAAATGAAACTGGACCCCGTCATCATTAACAAAAATGAACTCAAAATGTGAAAGATCTACACATAAAGCATCGAACTATAAACTACTGGTGGAGAACACAGACGGGACATTTGAAGATGCTGGAGTAGGCAAAGATTTCTAAGACCCCCTAATGCATAGGTAAAAATTTCAAAATTAGACAAATGGGATTACATCAAGTTAAAAAACTTCTGTACAGTAAAGGAAACAATACTCAGAATGAAGAGACAGCCCACAGAAGGGGAGAAAGTAATTGTAAACATGCTAAAAATAAGGGACTAGTAACCAGAATATAGAGATAATTCAAATAGTTCACCCACAACTAAAACAAATAACCCAATTTAAAAACAGGGAAGTTAGGGACCAGCAGTTGGCGTAATGGCTATCTTGCTGGACTCCCATGTAGTCAACCACAGTTCGAGTCCCGGACCCGGTGGCTTAAACTCATGCCGGGCGCGTGCGTGCCCAGGATCCCGAGGGGTGAATGGAGAAGGGGTTGCGGCGTGGCCCTCCCCCCCAGGGGGTGATTTCTCGCTCTCTGTCTCTCTGTCTCTCTTTCTGGCAAGCGCACACTCCCTATAGCAAAAATCTCTCCAAAAAAAGAAAAATGGGGAAATAGGCTGAACAGACGACTCTCTAATGAAGACATACAAATGGCCAAAAAGCACAGGAAAAAAATAATGCTCAACGTCTCTTATTATAAGAGAAATGCAAATCAAAACCACCGTGAGATACCGGTAGCCTGGTCAGAGCGGCTATGGACAAATACACACAACGGCAAGGGCTGGCAGGGCTGTGGCGAAACGGGCTGTCCCGCACTGCTGGTGAGATGCTCGCACAGCCACCGCGGAGAACACGGGGTTCCTCAACCCCACTGCGAGAGTTACCACACGACCCAGCAACCCCACTCCGTATTTACCCAAAGGGTACGGAAATATTCATCAGAAAGACACTAGCACATCCATGTTTATCGCAGCATTATTCACAATCGCTAAGACATGGAGTCAGTCTAGGTGTCCAAGAACTGGATTGAAAAAATGTGGCACAGGTATATTATAGAATCCACTCAGCCATAAAGAATAACGAGAACTTGTCATTCGATACAAGTGGATGCATATAGAAGATTGAATGCTACGTGAAGCAAGCCAGACTGAAACAAACATTGTATTTGGTTTTGCACAGAAAAACACATCGAGACTTTTTCTATGACCCAATATACCCCTGATTAGTACACGCCAGCTGTCTGAAGTGTACCGCAGAAGTTGGAAGGCTGGAAGATCTAACAGCGGGGAGGGCAGCCGTAGATACCAGAGAGGAGAGGGTAGACTGTAGGGGAGGGAAGGAAGGGCTCAGGACAAAAGCATTCAAGGACACAAAAATGTAAGGCCCTCTGTTGAAAATGATATACATACTAGTATATTTGACTTTCTTGATATGCACTGCATGCACGCTTTGAAAAACCATGCTGTGTGCTGTAATGGTGTCCAACTATTGGGGTCAGCAGGTGGCATGATGGTTACAGCGTGGACTCTCCCATGACTGACAGTGGTTTGAGTCCTGGACCTGGTGTCCTGAAAATCACTATAAATGCACGTGCATCCATGCCCAAAATCCCAAGAGGAGAATGGAGAAGGGACTGCAGCTTGGCCAGCCCCTGGCTGGTTCTTTCTCACTTTCCCTCTCTCTGTCTCTCTTTGGCAAGCACACGCCCCCTACGGCAAAAAAAAAAAAAAGATGTACAATGATTAAATGTAATAAGAAATCAGAAAAAATAATTTTATCTTATTTTTATTTATTCTATTGAGTTACATGAGTAAAAGCAGAATCTAACATTTAGAATAAACTTCTAAATGTTCAATGTTTCTGGGTCTTGAAATGTCATTAAGTTTAACTTCAGGACAGCATTAAAAATAGTGTTGACTTATAAGATACGAAACATTTTTTTTTGGAGAGGTTTTTGCTATAGGGCATGTGCGCTCGCCAGACAGACAGAGAGAGAGACAGAGCGACAGAAAGAAAGAAATCACATCCCAGGGGGGATGGCCACGCCACAATCCCTTCTCCTCCATTCTCCTCTCGGGATTCTGGGCACGCACGCACACGCGTCCGGCGTGAGTTTAAGCCACCGGGTCCGGGACGCGAACAGCAGTCAACCATGTGGGAGTCCAGCAACATAGCCATTAAGCTAACTGCTGGTCCCAATAGGAAACATTTTTGATAAAAATAAAAATGTTAGCTCTATACCTGGAAGTTGTGTTCATTACGCTGAGTCATTAAAAATAATAAAATAGTAAATAATTAAAATAATTAAATAGTAAAATTACAGTGAGATAAAATAGAGTTTTTTCATTACAAAAAATGACCATGCACTCAAAAACAGAAAAAAAAAAAAAAAAGGTAAGGGGCCAGCAGATGGTGTAATCGCTGGGATCCCACATAGTTGACCCCGGTTCGAGTCCTAGACCTGGCAGCTTAAGACTCACGCCGGGCGCGTGTGCATGCCCAAGATCCCAAGAGGAGAACAGTAAAGAAGAAACTGTGGTGTGGCCATCCCCCTGGGGGTGACTTCTCAGTTTCTCTCTCTGTCTCTTCGGTGAGCATGCACATCCTATAGCAAAAATCTCCCTAAAAATAAAAGACCACACATTCACTGTGTGTGCAGTTACTCTATGTCACTTCCCTTCTGTGGGGAGAGCTAGTGCGACCAGGAAGCGTTTAGCTCGGTGTGGCGCATCTCACTTAGGACTGGCAGAATGGGGCTCAAGCTCAGGGCGGCACGCCTTACCTGTCGCTCAGCTGGACCGCAGCGCTGTGCACCAACTTGATCCTCCCTCCGGGGAGCAGACCTAGACAGGAGACCACGGCTGAGTGTTGCTCAGTGTCCATGCCTGGACCAGCGCCTGGCTGTGGCGGCCGGAGCCATTCTTCCTGCCTAGATACCTGATTATAAATGACACCCAAATATCGTCAATACACAGCATTTCCTCCGTCTACTGCTTCAGGATAAGAACCAAAGTTTGGTGGCTGGGAGGTGGTGTGGTGGTAAAGCCACTGGACTCCACACGGCCAACCATGGTTTCCGTCCCAGACCTGCTTGGTGGCTTGCTTTCTCACTTTCCCTCTCTCCCCCCCCACTCTCTCTGTCCCTCTCTGATCAAATTAAAACAAATAAAGTTAAATAAAATAATTCTTAAAAAAAAAAAAGCTGCAAAGCAATGAACTAGAAATTTATGTATGTTGAAACCAGATTCTGGGCACAGCCCTGCTCAGAGGGCAGGACCAGGAAGCTGCTCATGTGCCCTCGAGGCGTTCCCGGCTCCGTCGATCCCCAGCCGCCCTGGGGAGCACTGAGGGAAACTCACGTGGACGTCGTAGTTACCTAAGTCGCTTACTGAGCCCGCGGTGTCCGCCTTGGGCAGCTCGACCACCACCTGGAACGCACACGGAAAAGAGCTGCCTGTCACTCGGCCACGGGACGGTGCCGGCAAAGAGTGGCTCCAAGCAGGCGCCTGCAGCAGGTGCTCGGGACGGAGGGCCGTGAGAGAAGACTGGCTTCGGCGTCGGAACCAAGGTCTTAAAAGCTACTCACTCCTAACATTCGCTCTTTTTTGGAGAGTGTTTTGTTTTGTTTTGTTTGCTACACGGCACATATGCTTGCCAGAGAGACAGAAAGCGAGAAATCACCCCAGGGGGATGGTTACACGGCAGACCCTTCTCCTCCGTCCTCCCCTCAGGATTTGGGCACACATGCACACATGCCAGGTGTGTTTCAAGCCACTGGGTCTGGGACTCGAACCACAGTCGACCACATGGAAGTCCAGTGATGTAACCATAATGCCATCTGCTGGCCCCCCATTTGCTCTTTATTTAAAAAAAGAAAAGAACTATTTTTTGGGGAGGCCAACAGATGGCGTGGTGGTTAAGGGTGCTGGACTCCCATGTGGCTGACCATGATTCGAGTCCTGGGCCTGGCGGCTTGCTTTCTCACGGCCCCTCTTTCTCTCTCTCTGTCCCTCTCTGGTCAAATTAAAATACGAATAATAAATAAAGTCAAACAAAATAAAATTTAGAAAAAGAATATTTTTAAACTTTAATTTAACTTTCTTTATTTGCTTATTTACTTATTTGTTTTAGTTTGACCAGAGGAAGGACAGAGTGAAAGAGAAAGAGGGAAAGTGAGAAAGTAAGCCCCGAGGTCCGGGACTTGAACCACGGTCAGCCACGTGGGAGCCCAGCACCCTTAACCACCACGCCACCTGCTGGTCCCCCATCTGCTCTTTTCACTTCCTCTTTGCCCATGCCCTGGTGAGCAGCCAGTGCCAGTCCCTGTCCGCCCTCCGGGGGCCTGTGCTGTCGCTCCCCAGCCCACCCCGTTGCCCCTGTCCCACTCCACCCCCTCGAAGGCCCGTGGAGGCTCCTGTCGTGTCAGGCGCTGTGGCCCCTCTTCACGGGAGGACGCCTAGCCTGCTCCTGACGAGCCGGGCTGCTCGGCTAGCCGACTGCTCCCCGTCCTCCCCCCAGACCCCCTCCCCTCACCCGCATCGTGTGGGGCTGGGCCACCAACTCACCCACACATTGAGGACGCCGCTCTCGTCCAGGGATGCGATGTGAAACGACAAGCCCATCTCTAAGGAGAACACGAGTGGCTTTAAATAAGGAGACCACGCTTCAGGGCTGTGGGTGAGGGCTCAAGAGGGGCCCCGGTACCTTCCTGAGTGGAGAACGGAGACAGCACGCAGCTCTGCTTTCTGTAGACAGACGTGGGGACGGGCTCTACTGCCTGCAGGCGGCTCCGGTGGCTCACAGACGTCAGGGTCCCATCTAGGGTGGAGAGCCCGTGCCGCGGGCAGTGAGGCACGGAGATGTAGCTAGCACTGCGCAAACACGGCGGGGCGTGTGGACCGAAGGGGCCCGTCTACACACACGTGCGTCTGTACACGCATTCCCACGGGCCACAGCCCTGGGTGGGCCTCGGGGAAAACGACTCAGACCTCACTTTCAGCACTCAGGCCGCTGCTCAGCAGCCACCAGCCAAGGCATGGAGGGCACGGGGCAGAGGCCGAGACGCCACGGAGAGAGGGTGGCAAGGTTGCGGGGACGTGGGCGAGAGCCCCAGGACAGCCCAAAAGGCAGGAGGGTGAGGAGGGGCCAAGATGGAGGTGACCTCAGAGATGGGCACCGCTGGGTGACAGTGAGCCCCTGTGAGGCCACAGCCCGGCCCTGCCAGGAGCAGCCCCACCCCAAGGGACACACTTCACGGGTGGACAGGAGAGCTCTCCAACCCAGAGGCCCAGGGCAGGGTGCTGAACAGCAGGAAAAGCCAGGCTGCACTTGGAGCGCCCTTCGGGGGACAGGACAGGTGACGGCCTGGCACCCAGCCTGGACCCCTGCTCCCCTAGCCTGGTACAGCGTGGACGAGACGCGGCATTCCACAGCAAACTGCGCCGCTCAGCTGCACCTGGGAACGCTGTCGGAGTAAAGCCCGGCAGAAAGCGGACTCGGAAACCCAGAACTGAAACAGGCCCAAACCGACCAGCAAACGAGGGAGCTGGGGAAGACAAGGCGTCTGGGAAGGGATAAGCCCACGCCCGGGCCCACAGCCTGCGAGGGCTTGGCCGAGGGCAGGGCTGCTGCCCCAGGGGCCAGCCGCTGTCTGCACGTCCTCACGTCTGCCCAGGTGCCAGCCTCGCCGGGGGGTGCACACAGCTGTACGGCCTCGGGGGGCTCACCGCAGAGAGCCACGGCCGCGGCACGGGCCTGGGCGGGCGCTGCCCCGGGACACGCTTACTCCCGCTAGGCCGCCAGTGCCTCTCCTCGGGAGGCAGCTCCCAGCCTCTGGCAGAGTTGAGCGAATAAACGCAAAGCCTCCCCCGCCCGCCGCGGCTGTCCCGGGAGACGGGGCACCACGCACTGACCGGTAGAGAACGTTGGCGTCCGGAACGTGCAGGTGCAGTCGCTCGGCCCCACGTAGCGGTGCAGCCGCGAGTCCTCCCTCAGGTCCCACACGAGCACCGAGCCGTGCGCCGTCCCAGCAAACAGCAAGGAGGCCTTGGACGGGCTGAAGCAGCAGCACGTCACCTATGACGGCAGAGCGAGCACACGGCTGAGGGCCGAGCACACGACACCGTGTCCCCGCAAGACCCGCAGCCCGGCAGCTCGGGCAGGGCAGAAGGCGGCCTGTCGCACAGTCAGGAGTTTAACTAGTGCGGCGGCCAGCCCTCAGTGGGGGGACAGCCCTCAGGTGGGGGGACAGCCCTCAGTGGGGGGACAGCTCTCA